CTAAATGAAAGGCCACCGATTGGTTTGTTCCAAGATCAGCTGGATTTATCTGAAGTTTCAGAGGTGAGGCACAACCTTCCAGGCGACCTCCCCCGGCAGCCTACATTTCACTTAATAAAACAAGTTAAGGAAGGTTTGAGGCAATCCTTTAAGGTCAGTTGAACTTTCACTGGAAAATACGAGTGCTGGCAAGTATATGCAATATGTAATGCAAAATGTTTAGGGTGTGGGGAAGAAGTGTAAAGGAGCCATACCACAGTGATGAGCTTGGCTAGTAAAGAGACTTGAAACAAGTTCCTCAGCGAAAACACCCTGGGAGATGGGTTAAGAATTTAGGGGATTGGTAGAATGTTTTTGTTACCCCCAAGGGGAAAAACAGGAGATCAAAGCCTGAATTCACTTAAGAATGCTTTCTTTGAAATGTATCTATAAATTATAGCACATACTGTTGGCATCTATTGTAGTCTTTGGTATTTACTTGAGAGTATAATGTGAATTCACAGTACCCAGAGTTGGCTTGTTAGTGTGTAAAAATAAATGTTGGTGAAGACAACATTGCAGATTCTCAAGTTTCCTAATGGTGGTGTTGCCTCTTCTCTGTTTTCCCCTGGCTTTGCGCCTCATCCTATGACCATGTGTCCCAGCCACCACCTATAGAGGGATTCTTTGAGGGGCTGCTGGTAGGGTTTGGAGCTCCCCCCTTGCCACCTCTCACAGTTATTGAGCTGCCTGCTGTGGCTGTTATTTCCGTGGTCAAGGCAGAATGGGATGTTGCTCCCAGGGGAATCCACAGCTGTTACCCCTCAGTCAGCAGAGTAGTTGCTGAGGCATGTCACCCTTGGCTTTTAACTCCCCATCCCATCCCTGCTTCCTAGCTCATCGGAGGAGCAGGACTCCTGACTGCTTGGCATGGCACAGCATTACCCACGGCCGTCCTAAACTCCCTGCTCCAAGCACTTGCTTCCTCTCCAGCCTGTGGTTTTAAGTGTTGCATTTTAGACACCTCATTTGCTTTGCTGCCCAACAGAGATTATGTCGTTTTTTTGGCACAATTGGATTAAACTAGCAGACCTGGATAGCTTCCATTGGCATTTCAGGAGATTTGCTGTAAGGCAAACCTGTGACATTTGTACCTTCCTAAGCTTGCACAACCAGAGCGAGGGCTGCAGTTGAGGTCCTGACCTCAGTTACTTAAGCCCCTTTCTCCCAGGAGCGTTCATCACTTTAATCACAGAGTCCTAAATAATCAGTGGGTAGCCTGTAATTAGGGGTTGTGTCCTGGACTCCTGCAGCCTGCTCCCGGTGTGCTGAGCACTGCGGATTTTGATTTCCCGTTTCCCCAAAGGATGTTTGATCTCAGATTTACACTTCAGAAAATTAAGAAGGGTACAGTACCTCCGTCCCCTGGCAGCCTTCCTGCTTTCAGTGGTAGGTGCCTTTCTTTTCTTAAGTGTCTCAGTTCTGCAGCGATTGACACATTTGATTTAAGAGTTAGATTTATAGACTGATACTCGGGCTGAAAGTCAGCAGCTCCAGGACTGCATAAATCAGCCTGTCTCTGGGACTAATACTTCCTTATTTATAATTTCGACAGGAGATGGAATTCTTTCTCAATTCTTTACATTTCTTTCAGATGTAATCGACCACCCTGTCCTTTGGTTTAAAGCTATGTGACTTTGCCACAAATAGAGGGAGGGGAAAGTAAGCCCGGTCCAGGAATTGCTATGCTATAAAAGCTCCATATTGTATGCTCTTGGACTTTGCTTTCTCCCAGCTTCCTTCAAGCCCACACAAGAGATGGACTTGAGGTTTTTTTGGCTTTCTTCCCCTCCCCCCTCCCTCCATACATACTCTGACCTTTTAGAAAAATAAATAGAAGATAAAGAAGGACCTGGAATGTTGCAGAATGTGTGTATATTTTGCTCTCTGTTGTTTTCTGCTGGGATTAGTTGTTTACAATGGGAGAGAGAGGGAGGGCAGAGGAAGGGAGGTCTGTGGCCTTAACTGAAATTAGTGGCATTTCAGAGTGATCTTGTTAGGTGGTCTGCAGTTTAAAGACCTAAATCCTTGTAATCCCCCCATGCCTCCTTGGCCACTACTCCTTTTGCTCTTGTTCTCTCACTTTCTGAAAAAAAAGAAAAAAAACCCCAAACCCGAGTCAGCCTCTCTGTCTCTCAGATGCAGGCTGTGCATAACATACGCACATGCACAGCCATACACACACACTCACTCTCATATGCTTCCATTCGCACGTTGTACCTGTATAACAAATTAATGTCTCAGCTAGCCGACATCTACATCTGTTACCACTACAGGACTGGGCTTGTAAAATGCTCTCTCTAGAATGCAGACACACACACCGAATATTTTTATTTATTCTCTGAAAAACGCTCAGCTGCCAGACTTTCAGCTTGTGATTGCACTTAAAACAAATTCAAATTGAAATTTCAGCCATAAATCAAATGCCCCAAATTAGTTCCTCTTGTGGGTTTGAACATGCTCTTTGGATTTTAAGGTCAGAAGATATCCGTTTTCACGGTGCTGAAAAGTTTAAAAATATACTACGTTTTAGGAAAAGAAATAAATATGGTTTGCATTATAAAGCAGTACATCAAATATGTGCGTATGCGCACACACAACGTGGTCAGTGAAGTTGAATGCTGTCAGAGCACCTTTGAGGACTAATAGCACCTAATTGTTAAGCGAGGCAGGAAACACGGTGGCTATTTATCCAAGGAGGATGCGGAGGATTGCCTTGAGATGTGATATTTATCCTCTAAGAGAATAGAAGTTTATCCCTTACTCTTCAATTAAAAAAAAAAAAATAGTAAAAATTAAGTAAACACACAAAATACTTATCTTGGCAGGCTTTATAACATCCTTTTTCGGGAAAAAAAAAGGCATTTACAAGTGGTTACAAAATGGCTGTGTTACATCTGTCAGCGGGTAAAGGGAACACCCACAAATTGTGTTTTTATCTCATGAAGTTTTGTTCCATTTGAGCAATAAAAGCCAGATTCAGTGCTGGTGTGTGTGACTGGGGTAATCCTAGCGCTGAGCATGGCTCTAAAACTTGTGCATTTGGTTGTGTTTATAAGTTTGAAGAAACTCCTGGGGTGGCGGAGTCTTTTGTTTTTGCTTGATGCTGGCACTGGGGAAGGGTAGGTTTGCAAGCACCTGGCACAGCCACGTTTGCCTTGGTTCCCTGGGCTGTCCTTCCAACAAATGGTTTGGCAGGAAAGCCCCTTATCTTTGATGTTAATGTCATCAGCACTTTCTTGGTTACAATGCTGTTCTTTCCCCAAGAGTTGAAAAATGATCCCAAGAAGGCTTGGGACGTACAGTGTGCTTCAGCCTGAGCTCCAGAAAACAGCTTAAAGTCGGAGATCTTAGCACACCCAAGGCTCTTCTTAGAAAATCATTCAGATTGGAAAAGACCACTAAGATCATTTTGTCCATCTGCCACCCTATCCCTACCATGCCCACTTAAGCCATGTCACTCAGTGCCACATCTCCATGGTTCTTGTGCTTGGAAGCAGTGATAGATGGTGGGAACCTACAAATCGCAGGGAAATGGTTCTAAGTGATCACGGAGAAGGCACTTCAGAGCATGCTTTTTGGATAGGGACACTTTCAGTGGGCAGTGAGTAAGCTCTCCTTTCACCTTTGCTTGGATGGCACCAGCGCAGGATGGCAGCAGTGACGGGCAGTCCTCCCTCTACCAGTTCATTTTCCAGCCTGACTGTCAACGCTGAGTGTTCTCCCAGTAAATGCTGTTACACAGGATGATGTCTGGAGTACATGGAGCTATTGGAAAGAAGCAGCTGGTGACAGTGTGAGAGCAAAGGCAGACAGGGGTCTGCTGTGTATCTTTGCCGCTTTTTATCTTATTAATATGTTAGTAAAAACCTTGCCAAGGCAACCTGAGCTGGTTACTTGGAGCATAATTGCTCATATTGCCTCCTTATAGGTCAGAGGAGGGGGAGTTGAAGCGAGTTAAAAGAATGATTGTTCAGAGGGGACAGTCTGCTCAAGGGAAGTCATAACTGCTAACCACCGTGGCTGAGGTCCGGTTTTATTGCTTTTACTCCTGCGGAATTAATGCCGTGTTTGTGATGCAGGTGGTTTCTGCTCTGACTCACATGAGCAACAGAATTGTTACATATATTTAATGGCAAATTCTGTGTACCAGATAGTGGCAACGTGCGAGTAGGAAAAGAACTAGGAATTAATGTTAGGATTGGCAGTCTGGAGTGAGGACTGACCTCCTCTTTGCTCCTGAGGAGTACAGCTGGCTGACTCTCTGCTCAGTACAAAATTGAGGCTCGGGGGGCTCTCAGTACCAAAAGCCCTCTGTGCTATTAGTTCAAACTCCGAAATAGCTCTTCTGTTGATGGCTCGTAGCCTGGTGGCACAGCACAGCAGCATTTTGCTGGTGCAGTAAGCAGTGGTGAAACTCACGGCCATGGCTGTGGGTGTCACAGGAGGGGCTGAACTGTAGAGCTCAATGCAGAAAGTCACTGAAGCCAAAAACTTCAGAAAGAGATTTGACAGAGGGTAGCACAGATATCCATAACTGTTGTAATATACATTAGCAGAAGTGCTGGGGAGGAAATATGAAATGGGACAGATACCTTCATCTCTGTTATGTATCTCACTTACAGCTGCAGCATAGCTGTTTTTTCTCCATAGCTTTGCAATAAATTGTTTGTACCATTTAACATCACTCATGGTGCTGAGTGAGCACACATCACGGATATTAGTTAAGATGCACAATTACAGTTTTACTGCCTGGAGAGGCAAAGACCGGTGCAATAACTCACTCAGATCTCTCAATATCTTCGTAGAGGAGTTATGGAGCCAACATCTGGACTCTGAAATTCTTTCCTAACTGGATGATCAAATCATGTCAGAGGTTTATTAACTATCCCAGTGGATACCTTTGTTTTGTACCTATCATTTTAATCATTTTCTTGTTCTACCTTGTGCTTGTGTTATAGGTGTTGTCTTCAGGGCAGTGTTATTTGTAATAACGCTGTGATAGAGAAGGGTGCAGACATCAAAGACTGTTTGATTGGAAGTGATCAGAGGCTGGAAACCAAAGGTAAGTAGAAAAGCTGTTTTTATGATGCATTTGTAATTAATTTTTAGAATTTCCTCCTCAAGATTTTCCTCCTGTTTCTTCAAGAGCCAGTGAACAGTGGCAGTTTTACAGTGTGGTGTCCCTTAAGATTAAGATTTGTTTTTCATGGAAAGTGCAGCTTGCTGGCATGAGAATAGTTCAGGGAGTTGCTCTTCAGAAGTTGGCAGAAAAACTTTGTTGTTACTGTAAAGAACAAGATTGGGTGCTGAGACAGTCTTTTCCCAGAGGCCACAATTAGGTCAGCTTGGAGTTGTCCTCAGCTGTCAGAAGGAACTGTCATTTTGACAAGTAGTTTTTGTCCGTGTTAGGGGTGATGCAGTCAAATAAGTGATGGCACAGACATCCTTCTTTTTGTGAATGCTAGCAGCCACAGGTGCCAGCGTGTTCCCATCCACCCTGCTCCATGCAGGAGCTCAGGATGGAATGTCATACTGGAAGCTGCTGTGCTTAGTAGTAAATACAAGGGCAGTTACATTCAGATCTGTTTTACTGAAATGAAATGCTTTTTGGGGTTTCAGAGAAGTTACAACTATGCGGTCCCAATTTGGGCAAAGTTAGGCCGTCCAATCAAGCTGTGAGTGGTGAGGGCTCAGTAACCGCCTAAGTGGAACTGTTGATTTCCTGCTCTAAGAGATAATGGGCAGGAAATGGCTGTCTCAGTGACTGCATCCCAAGCAGAGGGCTTTTTAATGAATATTTATGGTTGGGGTTTGGCAGATCCCTGCTCTAGGGTGTGGACTGAGGACAACAGTGAGTTCCTTTTCAGGCTCCATGTGAAGTTATTTAGTCAGATCAGGATTTGTTTGCTTGTTTTGTCTTTATAGTATATGGGTGGTTTCCCAATTGTGAGTGTCCTGATAAAGAGCAGGGTTTGCACTTAATGTGGTATACTATAACCTATTGCCAGCTATGCATACACAAATTTTTTTTCTTTTAATTTGAAACTAGAAGTAAGAGACTCGTGAAAACAAAGTGTTGATCCTACAATTGCAAGTCTCAGATGCTGCAGGAGACACGCAGTCAGCGTTACGCGCACTGTGGTCTTGGTCCTTGTATAGCACAGTTTCTGCTTACCCATGGCTTTGTCCATCACATCACTTGTAATCATCGACCCTTGTGGGTTCACTGCCCTCCTGTCCCTGAAAATACATACTGTTCATGATGCTCTGCTTGTGCCTTCTTCTGAGCATGAATCACTAGGAGAGCTAAATCAGGTCATGTTTGTTTATTAATCTAAAATTTGAACTATGAGGAAACTGTGAGGGTGTAGATTTAGCTAATTTACTACGCTCAATTTCTTCAGCAGATCATTTCAAACAGAAATATCACACTTTGCCCTCACTCATGTCTTTTTTGGTAGTCTCTTCCAGGATGCAGGTCCAGTCTGGTTGATCTTGGTATGGAAACCATTCTTTCTTCATTATTGCCCTTGTCATCTTTATCTGAACATTTTTCAGGATCTGTCAACATAATTCTATGATTCTATGATAACATATTTGGAAGGAGAGGAACAGAGCTGGAACCTGTGGTTCGTTTACCTATTCTTGTAGGGCCACGTGCTCACCTCTCCAGAGCACTTCTCAGTGAGTCTGTGGGCCCTCCAGTTAAACTATTCAGGAACATATGACTGATGTTAGCAAAGACACTCAGGTAGATTATGAATGACAAACATGCCATTATGCCAAGCAAGAAAAAATAATAACAAAGCCTCAGTTCATTTCCCTGCCTCAGTTTCCTAACCATTTTGGAATTTATTTGGGCTGGGGGTCAGGTTCTCCTTGGTGGTCTGGGATCTGTCTGTGAAGTTCATGACTTATTTCCTGAACTGCAGAGTCTTTCCAGCCTAGCATGTTTCTTCTGACCTTGCCTGGTCCCACAGTAAACTGGGCCCTCTCTTTTTCACTGTGAAAGCATGCCATGACTTCCTTTCCCCTGCCCAAGACTTCCTGTATCTTGTGCCAAGCTTTTGGTGTGGCCCTGTAAGTCTGTTTCCATATTCCCACTTTCATCAAGACTTTGGCTATGTTGTTCTGTTTGGTAACTTTTCCTTCTTCAGACTCTAGCCTTCACAGCCAGGTTACGAAAAACTGGTTCTGTTGGGTCACAGCCACCTTTTATTGCAAGCTGATCGCACCTCAGCAGACGTAAGCAGTAGCAGCTGGCTGTTGACCCCAGTCTGGGAGTTACATGCTAGAAACCTCAGCAAAGCTGCATACACCTTCCCAGAAACATTAAAGAAAAAGAAAAAAAAACAGCAGTTCCTTATTCCAAAACATCAGCCAGGATTCATCAAAGGTACAAAGATCCCCGCATCATCCTGCACACCCCCAAGCAAATCCCACAGTTGACTTTGCTGCGGAACTGGCTGTGTGCTCCCAGTTCCGCCATACAAGTCCTGGTCTCGCTGCCCAGGCAGCTCAGGGTACAAGAGCTCTTTGAGCCACTGACCTCCTTTTATAACCTGAACCATGGAAGCAGGATGGCAGAAGAACAGATACCACAAATGATAGGCAAAAGTAACTCAAACCAGCTCTTGTCCTTTTCCTTCTACGGAAGAGGCAGGGGCATATTTAGGGTGGTCTAAATGGCACAGCTGGGAGTAATGGGATTGAATTAAACACAATTTAGGTTGGATATCTGAAACATTTTCCTAATGATGTGGTCTGGTCGGCTGTGGGATAATCTCCCTGGGGACGTGGTGGGAGACCTCATCACTTAATAATAGGCTTGGCAAAGCTCTGGACACCTAAATAGAGGGAGTGCTCCACCACTGGTTTTTGGGGTAGATCAGATGCAGCCTATTAATTTCAAACTAAAAAGCGAGTTAGAGACAAGGGGGGGCAGGTAGCTGTCAGCAATGACTACAGGCCCCATCACAGCACTGGCCAGACACAGTACTTTTTAAGTGCCTCTGTTAAAGTCATGATGTGGAGTTTTATTAAACTTCTGGATTTGCAAGCCATGCCTCCTGAGAGTCATGCTATTCTCTTCCTACTGCTTTTATTACCATGCTTAGGAAGCATCCACTTCCCTTCCTCTTTGATACTTTAAGAAATTTGCTAGCAGAGAATTAGCAGACAGGCGACCTCACCCAGATAGCAGTTTGAAAAACATCTTGGTACCTAAGAAAAAGGAGGCAATTATTAAAGGGATAGGAAATGGCAGGCGGCCGTTCTGAAAGGGCTTAATTGCGCAAAGCATTCAGTCACTGTTTCTAAGACAGTTACTACAATTGCACTCCAGCCTTTTTGGTGAACCTGCTTTCTTCAAAGCAAAATAGAGAACAGAGATAGTAGAGAGATGCTCATAGGATAAAACTAGCAAAATGGACACAAAACTCACCACCTTAGCCCTCACTTTCATCTTTGGTGTCCCTGGGCAGGCATGTTTTGTGTTCATTGACTATGCAGGAGCCAGTGTCATTTAGGGACAGCTTGAGTCATTGTACACCCAGAAAGTGTATTACAGCAGTGTTATTGCCACAAAGTGTATTTGCAGAAAGGGAAAAAGTATCAGCATTCAGGATGCTGATGTAATCTTAGCTTGGCATCCCAATGCGTACTTAGGAGCATTATCTCCCTGACCAAGATGTAGGCTAAGACTTGACTGTGCTTATTCTGGTGCATTTTCAATGCAACCATATATTTTTATTTTCCTTGGTGCCATGATGCAGTCAGCACCCAGAAAGTGCTGCCGAGTGCGTGCTGAATGCGAGGTTGTTCCATAGCCCTGATTCCTGTCTTCTTTCAGCTTGAGTCTGAAACCTTAATTACTGTACACTATGCAAGAAACAAGATCCTTTCTGTGGCCTTTCTGCAACATTTGTCATCTTAGTGCTTCACAGCTGTTAGCAAGCTCATTTTTACCTCCTCAGTATGAACGTGGCTGATTTTTCCTATTTTAGAAAGGCCTGAGATTCAGAGAGTTGCTGTTTGTAGGCCCTTTCATTCTGACTGCCCAACTTAAGTGCTGAAGCAGCATGTTACATGTAGCATTTCCTAACAATTACATTTTAGCTATAGCATTTTCTTTGTAAATATTGGAATGGAGGTTTCAGTCTACTGAGGCAAAAAAAAGAAAAAAGAAAAGTTTTTTTATGTGATCATGTTGGCCTGTGCATGGGTCGTTAGCAGCTCCAGGAACTAGAACTCCATTATAGAGCTTCTGCTGTTCCAGCTGATGGGAACTGACAGTAGTGGGTCATCCTCCTTAAGGGGAGCTGGATTTGGAGTGAGGCAAGAGGAACTTTGCCAGGAAATTTCACAGATGCCCGTGGGTGTCAGCAGCCTGGAGATTCACTCCTGGTACAGGGGGAGGAGGCTGTAGTTAATGTAGGCTTTACTGCTCCTGTCTGCAGCATCATTCCTTGGGCCGCAACCACATCACCTGTTTCCTATCTGATCCTGACTCCTGCCTCACTGCTCCTCACTATGGCTTTGTTCCAGATCGAGTCTCATCCCATTCCCAGTCTTTGGTTCTTCTTCTAGTCTTTGTTTATTTCTCTTACTTTGTTATGCCTAGCCACACACCTGTCTCCTCTGCTCTCATCGTAGATGCTATTTCCAGTCCCCCTGCCTAACAGTCCCATGCTCCATTTCCCATCTGGCACTCCATCCCCGACTGCTTTGATCTCTTTCTGTGCTGCTGTTGTGCCCAGGCAGGATCATTCTGGGCACTGGAGGGAAGCAGTTCTGTGCTGAGTGTTGGTCCCAGAGCTGGGACAGAAGCTGGGGGAAGTCCTGCATCGATCCTGCACTTCCCTGGTTGAGAGCACTCAGGAGAAGCAGTCTCTGGAGCTTTTAGCTGCCCTCCTGAGAACATGTGCAAACAGACATTTTTTCCAGAGGCTTATCACATAGCCAAAAGTGTGTGGTTTCTCACAAGAACAGAAAAAGGCACATATCCAGTAGGGACTGGCTCCCGTTTCAGATCATTTTTCAAGTCTTGTTCCAAGCTTGCAG